CATCTAGGTCCGTTCCCCCCTTAATCTTAAATATATTTATATATGTACATGGCTGTAGTTAGGCTTGTGAAGGCTGAACATGGTATTGGGATAGGAGGAAGCTGCAAAGAAATAGAGGAAAGAAGTAGGAGGCAAAGGGCATATATACCCCCTTTTTAATAAAGTGTCTATTTTGTGTTTGATGTTTCCTTGTGATGCACTAAGGTTATACAACCTCCCTCAGAATAGTGAATAAGTGTTTGTGGTGTCCACCTGTGTGTATCACATCTGGAGGAATATATGTTCACCTGTCCCTTGATGATATTAACTTTGATCACACAGTTAAGACAGTGTTCTGAAGAATAGTTTTTCTTTCTTTTTTTCTCTCCCCTTATCACAATTAATAAATAATTTATAGGGAGTCATTTTTCAACATTGTGAATATCCTGCTTCTGATAAAAAATTCTGCCTTGATTCAGTTTCCATTAATACTTGCCAAATGATTTCCCAATTCCAACATTCTCTCCATATTTACCTTCAATGTTACTGTCTAGGAGAATCTTTCCTTATTTATCTATTTATTGTTGCTATGGAATCGTGACTTTCTAATTCCAGCTATGGTTTACAATTCATGAACCACATTAATCCACTGCTGTCAAGTTGACTGACTGAGAGTGGCCCTACAGAACAGAGAACTGCTCTAGAGTTCTCAAGGCTGTAAACGCAGAAGTGGAGCATCTCCTCTTTCTCTGGCAGAGCACCTGGTCAGTTCGAGTCACTGACCTTTTGGGGTAACAGCCGAGGGCTTGACTATTGAGCCAATAGAGCTACTTAAAGTCAGTACTGTATTTAATTATTTGGGTGCCTGTAAGGTCTGTCCCTTTAACATGATTCTTGGGTTTAAGTTACATGCTCCCCTTTATTAGTTTGAGCTTTTTCTTATTTTCTGGCCTAACAAGTTGTCACAGTTTCATTATGTACCTGCTCTGCCCTAGCCCTGGAATTAAATATTTCTCTGAAGAGGACAGGTGACATTTAGTAGGCAATGGGTTAGATTATAGGTCAAGATCTGGGTATTACATGTGTCCACTGCTGGGGTGTCTTTGTTTCCTGGCCTTTTGAGTAAAGAGTTAGAATATATATGTATGTATACATATACAAATATATATACATACACATGTGCTTATGTAAATGCATATACAACTTACATATATTAGAACATAAATCCATATATAAACAAACATACATATATTTATTAGAAACCCCGAGTTCACACTAATATTTCAATTTTAGTTCATCTCCACAGGTTCTTTTGCCACTATCTATTTATATATAACTTCTTCCAAGAGAAGGAGCCCTGGTGGCATGGCACAATGGCTAAGAGTTAGGCTGCTAATCATAAGGTCAGCAGTTAGAAACTACCAGCTGCTAGATGGGAGAAGGACAAAGCTTTCTCCTCCCATAAAGAGTTACAGTCTTGGAAACCCACAGGGGCAGTTCTACCCTGTTCAACAGGGTTACTATGAGCCAGAATCCAGTTGTTGGCAGTGAGTTTCTTAGATCTTCCATGTGAGAACTGCCCACCCCCCACCCCCAAAAAGAAACACATTTACTAATTCATTCAAACTTATATCTAAAAGTTTCAAGATTACTTCATCTATACCACTACAATAAGCAAATCTCTAAAAAGAAAAAAATTGATATAAACTCTGTATCCCCTGACCAACTTGCTTAATACTGAAGGCATATAGCCAAATACTGTGTTTACAATGTACAAAGATATCTTTTTCTTATTTCCCCTTTCAGTATTATATTTTATTTTACATCTACAGGAAGAGAAAATAAATAATTATATTAACCTGATATCAGAAAGAAATTTAATTAGTAACAATAATTGGAACTAACTTCTCCAGTGCAGCCATAATAGGGAGTTCCCAGCATGAAGACCATACTTTTAGGAGGAAATAAGTCATCCAATGTTTTGATATTGGAGAAACGGGAATCAAAAGCTCGGATGTCCTATGTAAAATAAAATGTAAAGGTAAACCACCACAGTAAAAATTTCTACAGATTGCATATTTTACTATAGGATTATAATGATGTTATCTGTAGACATCAAATGTAAAGATTTTCTACATACCAAGGATAGCACATAAAGTTCATTAACTACTTAGTATATGCTAGGCAGTTCAGTGTTCTAGGTAATCCACATATAGTTATTTGAAATATGATTCTCAAGACAACTCTCTGTGGCACAAACCACGATTAGCCCTACTTCATAGATGAGGAAGGAGCCCTAGTGGTTTCATGGGTAATGCCTTGGCCTGCTAACGACAACTTCCCACCAACAAAGGAAGAAAGACGAGGCTGGCTCTCTGCCCCCATAGAGATGGAAAGTCTTGGAAACCCACAGGGTGTGTACAGATCAGGAAACTACAGCACAGAAATAAGTGAATCTTACCCAGGTTCATAATGTTAGGAAGCCAATGTAAGTAGCTGTGCTCCTCATTAGTACATTATACTGTAACCCTACATTATAGTATCATCACATGCTCTAAGAACTTTTTGTCCCCTTACCACATCTTACAAGCAGAAAAGCAAATGCCTTTTTAGGTTTATTAATTTACTTAAGGCAAACTATTTTGGAGAATAAAAATCTGAAAATTCAAGTGTGTAAGTTAATGAGGGGATATTTTTCAAGCTGCAAGTCCTTATATAAAAAGATAAAAGACATGTTCTTCAGGTCTACATACTTTCAGAGCATGTGATACTCCTAATAAAGACATGGTAATTTACAAATTACACTAATAAGCTCAACCATTCATTCATGAAAACATCTTTTATAAATCACTAAATATTCATAGATGTCTTCTCTTTAAACAGTGTGCATTAGTGTGCATCCACACAGAACTTTAGCCTGAAAGAGACTTACCTTAACAATCGTTTGATAAACAAAAGGAAGAACTTGCTTTGACCACTGTTTCTCTAGTCTGACTTCACCATTTGGATTTACTTGATATTTATGACCTGTAAGTAACTGAGCATACACAACTACTGATGTTTCATTTATTATTATTCCTTTTCTTCTCAGGTACCTTAAAAAAAAAAAAGAAAAAGAACACAGAAGCATACATATGTTTGTGTGTGGCACGTATTCTAAAAATATAACTTCTTCATGATCATCCAAACTAGTTTCTACCAAATACTTATGTAATTATTAAGTGATACATTAAAGGCTACATGCTACCAGTTCTGAGGACCCAACTTAAACCTTCGTGTATTATTGGTCTTTCTCTGTGGATACCTTTCCCAATGTCTGGCAGCAAAGTGACAACTCATAGGGTTCTAAGAAATTCTTATGCTTCATATCCACAAAGATAGCTGTAATAAAAATAAAAAATGGAAAAATCACAAATATTGGTGATGAGGTGGAAAAATTGGAACAAATATTGCTGATAAGGATGTAAAGTTTGATGGTTCTTTAAAAGTTAAATAAAGAATTGCCACATACCCTAGCAATTTCACCCCTAGACTTAAAAGCATGGACTCAATAAATACTTGTGTACATAATGTCCACACTAGCACTTGTCACAATAGCAAATGGTGGAAACAATCCAACTATCTGTAAAAAATGGCAATGGCAGGCATTTGGTTGCTTCTAACTTTATGAGGGGGAAGGAGAATCAAGAACATACAAAGGCCTATTCCTATGAAATAAGACATACTTCCTCTCTTCAACCTTTGATAACTCATTGCAATAGCCACACAAAATTCACAGATTATTCCCAAAAATTACAGGGACAGTATGAAGAAGTTGGCATAGGGTTTGGAGGGAAGCTTGTTAACTATCTGTGATACGCAGCTGACACAGCCTTTTGTGCTGAGAGGGAAGGAGACTTGAAGTATCTGCTGATGAAAATCAAAGAAAATTCAGTATGAATTTTAACTCAATATGAAGAAAACAAAAATCCTCCCACCATAGACAGCATCGTGATAAACAGAGAAAAGGTGGAAGTTGTCAAGGGTTTCATTTTACGTGGATCTACAATCAACCCTCATGAAACCAGCAGCAAAGAAATCAAATTCTGTATTTTCTTGGGCAAATCTGCTACACAAGACCTCTTTCAAGTGTTAAAGAGCAAAGATATAAACACCAAGTGTGCCTGGCCCAAGGCATAGTATTTTCCAGTCAGCTCCTATGCACGTGAAAGCTGGACAATGAATAAGAAAGATTTGGTGCATCTGAATTATGATGTTGGCAAAGAATATTGTAAGTAACATGGGCTGCCAGAAGAAAAAAAATAAATGTGCCTTGAAAGTACTACAGCTGGAATGCTCCTTGGAAGCAAGGATGGCAGATTTTAAATATGTCATTAGGAGAGACAAGTCCCTGGAATAGAACATCCTGCTTGGTAAAGCAGAAGGTTTTCAAAAAAGAGGAAGACCCTCAAGGAGATGGATTAACAACAGTGGCTACAACCAATGGGCTCAGCATAAAAAAATTTAGGAGGATGACATAGGATTGAGCAGTATTTAATTCTGTTGTGCATAGAGTTGATGAGTTGGGATTGACTAATTTGAGGAGACAGCTCTATCTCAGTTGTATTTTGAGTGCTTTCCAACCTGAGGGGCACGTCTTCTGGCACTATGTGAGGCAATGTTTCACTGCTATTCATAAGGTTTGCAGTAGCGAATCCCTCAGAAGTAGACAACCTATTCCTTCTTTGTAGTTTTAGTCTCAGTCTGAAAGCTCCACTGAGACCTGTTCCCCAAGGGTGATCCTGCTAGTATTTGAAATACTACAGCACAGCTTCTGACATCATAGTTGCATGCAAGCTGCCATGATATAACCAACTGACGGATGAGTAGTGGACTACTATACCTAGCAGGTATAAATAATTTTTGAATATATGAACAAATGACTAAACTTTTTATGAGTTTACATCGTTTTTTAAAAAAAATCATTTTATTGGGGGCTCGTACAATTCTTATCACAATCCATTGTGTCGAGCACATTTGTACATTTGTTGCCATCATAATTCTCATATCATTTCTCTTTTAATCAAGAGTCTTGACCAAAAGAATTTGAATCCATTCAAACAAATAAACATATTTACTAAGTGCCTAGACACAAAACAGTAAAAGAGAAAAATAGAGATGACCCAAAAAAGGTGTGTTTCCTGCCTTCATAGAAAATACTATATAAAGAAAGAATCATTAGAGTAATCAGATACACATATAATTATGATTTTGTTTATGTGCTATCATAAAAAATCAGAATACTAGGAGCTGTGACAGAGATATATAATTAATTACACTGTTACCGAAAAGACGAGCCCTTATAACATAGAGGTTACAAGTTGGGCTGCTAAGCACAAAGTCAGCCATTCCAAACCACCAGCTGCCCCACAAGGGAGAAAGAGGACACTGTCGACTCCCCTACAGAGCTACAGTCTCGGAAACCCCCAGAGGCAGGTCTACCCTGTCCTGCAGAATGCCATTGAGTCAACCCTGACACTTAACCTACTAAGCCACAAGGGTACTGTAAGGATATTATAGCCAAGTATTAGTTCCAAAACTGTAAAGGATTTTCCTTGAGTTGTAAACTAACCAATTGAAACAATTTAACCTATTACAAATTGAATGGGAAGGCTGATGGATACACATCTATAACCTTGTTTCATATGTCACTGTCAGTCTTCATTGTGTTTCATTTTTGGAAATTCTAATGTTTGGATGAAGAGAAGTACTCATAGGATGGCCATAGAGTACTCTGGTAAACTGAAAAAGTAACATTCGGCAGAGAGCCAAGTTCTCCACTATCTCTCAGACCTTGCCTTTATGAAGCCTGGAACATTTGGGGTTTGGAGTGAAAAGGTGAAGAATAAAGAAGGGTCGACCTCTCTATGTTCATTACTTAGATATGGCCAAGAAATTCAAAGATCTTTTGGTTAGTTAAATTAACTCTTAAATCCAGACAGTATGATAATTTTATTCCGAGTTTTAAGTGGTTATGTATTTTCATTTTCTTCATTAAGTATTCTAGTGACAAATTGGACAAGGCTAAAACTGCTCTTACCCAGATGTTAGTTTAAGCCAGAATTCATTATTTTCTTTGGAACACAAGATAATGAGGTAGTCTGTAGTCAGAGTGAAAATTACTTAGAACAGCTCTTCTGTCCATGTCTTTATGACTCACACCAAATGACTGGGTGTGTAAAACTAACAGAAGGGATTAATAGCTATAAGAACGAAGCATCTCAGAAGCAGGAACAGAGAATCCCAGGACCATCAAGAAAGAACAGTCACAAGTACAACACATGCCAGATCCCTGTCTGAAGTGGCAGAGGCACCAGCAAGATTAGAGGATGCAGCACTGAGACTAAAGACCACGAGACTGTGGGGCAGAACAGTGGAGAAGTTTCTCAACCTGAGAAACCTTGGCAGAGGTCAAGGGACCACGTGGCTGAGAGGCTGGGGACCATAGAGATACATGACTGCTGGCTGAGAAGAGGTGCTGCTGTGGACCAAAGATTGTATCCTCAAGGTTTTCTGATCCTTGTTTGTTATGGTAACTTTCCCTAATAAACCCTCATGATCCCGAGTATTATTTGTGAGTTCGGTGTGGCCACTGCAACTGATTATGAAAGCAGGCAGAAGAGTAGAATGCTGTGGAAGGAACAGTTGGTGTCCGAACAGGGTAAAGATGATGGAGAGTGAAAGCATGTTGAGCTCTGCCTTGTGACCGTCAGCCTGAGGTGGTGTGGAGATGGATTCTCCTTCTCCCAACTGAAGCGATAAGAGGTCAGGCAGATGTGGCGCCACGTAATTTACTCATTATTGTAAGTGGAAATTAAGTTAGAGGACAAGTGTATTAACTAAGAATCTATGTCTATGATGTTAAATACTTTTTATGACACTTACTGTTCTGAAATTCCTTGTACTTCTTTTGTCCAGTTAGATTGTTCTTTATCTCCAAGATGGGCCACTTTAGATGGTGGAACAGTTTTTCCCAAATAAAGCTTCTGTGTTCCTGGAGGTTCTTCCAAATAAAACCTTAAATTTAAAATGAAATAAAAATTGTATCATCTAAAAATACATGGTTTATATAGAGTACTATCATTGTAAGGATCTTCAAAACAGAATTTTTGGAAAATGACAATTAAAATTTTAAATAAATTTAATTTCTTAAGACACAATAGCTAATACTTGCTACTAAACAATTAAAAAATACTCTTGAATATAAAGTACATAATATCATCTATAAAGTACTCTTCCCAAAAGCTTAACCTGAACTTAGCCACATCATCAGACCTAACTTCCAGTTTATAAGAATTAGTGGGGGATGGAGGACCAAGTTCAATAAGACAAAAAGGAAACAATCAGAGAAAGTAACACTTTTTACAAAATCATTCTCCCGGACACATCAAAAAAGAAAATGATAGAAATTAAGTTCAGCAAGGTCCTGGTTTATAAAATCAGCATTAAAAATTCAGTAGTTCCCCCCAACTACCAGGACCCCAATTTTGCCTTGCAGACCTGGTTGGACCAGATGATGCACAGCGGTACAGATGGGAATTGGAAATGCAGGGAATCTAGGACAGAGGAACCTCTCAGGACCAGGGGTGACAGTGGCGATACCAGGAGGGAAGGGGGATGTAGTAGGGGGGAATGGATCACAGGGAGCTACGTGTGGCCTCCTCTCTGGGGGACGGGCAGCGGAGGGGTGGGTGAAGGGAGACGCCGGACAGTGTAATATAAGATACAATAATAATTTATAAATTATTAAGGGTGCATGGGGGAGAGGGGAGGAGGAAGGGAAGGGGAGGGGGAAAAAAGGAAAATGACCCGATTCCGGGAACCCAAGAGGCAAGCGATTTTTGGGAATGATGAGGGCAACAAATGTATAGATGTGCTTTACACAATTGATGTATGCATTGTGATGAATTGTATGAGCCCCAATAAATTGATAAAAAAATAAATTAAAAAAATTCAATAGTATTTCTACATACTAGGGAAATGGAAAATATAAGCATTATGCCATTTAAATTTTATCTAAAACATTATAGGCAGTCCTGGGATATAAATGTCCAACTTATAGACAATTTCTATGTGTCGTTAAAATTATATATACAAAGGGGCTTTAAAATGTTTGTAGAAAATTGGAGTTAGAAGGGAAGGTTTCCAGTAACTTTTAAAATCACCCTGTATTTCCTTTCAATTTGAAATCATTGAACCAGCCACTCAACTCAGCTCACTGCCATCAAGGTGATTCCTAATTCTTAGAGCGTTATAGGCAGGGTAGAATGCCTCTGTGGGTTTCCGAGACTGGAACTATATACAAGAGTAGAAAACCACATCTTTCTACCTGAGGAGCAGCAGATAGATTCAAACTGCCGACCTTGTGGCTAGCAGCCCAAATGTAAGCTACTACGCCACCAGGGCCCTACTCGAAAAATTATTCATCATAATTACCTTCACTTGCTGCACACACAGTTTTTAAATCACTGAAAAAGCTTCTAGGCTTTTGTGCACTAAACAAATAAAATACAAAACCCAACAAGCCTACTGCCACTAACTCCATTCTGATGCGTAGTAACCCTACAGCACAAAGAACTACTCTTCAGGGTTTCTAAGACTGTCAGTCTGTACAGACACAGGCAGCCTCATTTTTGTCCAGACGAGTGGCCAGTAGATTTGAATAACTGACCCTGTGGTTAGCAGTCCAACACCTACACACAGTGTCATGAGTGCTCCAAGTTCTTGCACTAAAGCAGCGGTTCTCAAGCTGTGGGTCACGACACCTTTGGGGGTTGAACAACCCTTTCACAGGGGTCACACAATTCATAACAGTAGCAAAATTACAGTTATGAAGTAGCAACAAAAATAATTTTATTGTTGGGGGGTGGTCACCAGAACATAAGGCACTACACTAAAGGGTCACGGCATTAGGAAAATTGAGAACCACTGCTAAGTAAGAATTATGTGCACCTGTTCCAAATTACCTACAAAGTCTACTTACAGTCTTACTGACATAAAACAGCTGTTGTTTGTAACTCAGGGACTATCTGTAGTTAGGTGTAAATCTAATAAAACATATACAGGATCTGTACTATGAAAACAAAACTGATGAATGAAATAAAAGAGCTTAGTGCATGGAATATGTTAAAAGGTGAACACAACATAAATGCCTATCAACATATGAATGGATAAAGATTCTATATTCATAAATTAGAAGACTGATCACTACAAAGATGTCATTTCTGATCAAGTTTGATCTCTTGGTCTAATGCAATCTGTATTAAGATCCCACCAAAATTTCTCATATGTGAAGAATAACTTGAACCAGTCAGGGTGCACTATAGCACCGATGAAACATACAACTTTCCTCTAGTTCTTTAACGCTTCCTCTCCCCCATTATTATGATCCCAATTCTACCTTACAAATCCAGCTAGACCAGGGCATGTACATGGATACAGATCAGACAGTGTAAGACATGAAAAAATAATAACAATTTATAAACTATCAAGGGTTCATGAGGGAGGGAGGGTGGCAGAGGGTGGGGAAAAAATGAGGAGCTGATACCAAGGGCTCAAGTAGGAAAAAAATGTTTTGAAAATGATGATGGCAACAAATGTACAAATGTACATGACACAATGGATGTATGGGCTGTGATAAGAGCTATATGAGCCCCTCCACCAAATCATTACAAAAAACCCCAAAAAAACTTATTCTACAATGCATAGGCAAAAGCAAAAGGCTTAGAATACCTACTGTATATACTCATGAATAAACCGAGTTTTTTTTAGAACATTTTTAATGCAGTTTCTGTGGTAAAATTAGGTGCCTGGCAAAACACCAATGGGAACAGAGCAACAAAGTC